ATATATATATATATACGCGTTGTTACATAAGTTTAGTAGTCTTCTTTTTGTCTTATACGATGACTGCATAGCAACAAGAAAGACAACTGCAAAATTTCCATGCGGTGATCGGTCTTATTGGCGACCAGTGGTCAAAAGGCCCGTTGATATGCATTAGAAATGCATTTTGTCAGATATTAAGACTCCCATTACTTGAATCGTGCACTGTCAGAAATACCCACTGGTACCCGATGATACGTTCGAACAGGCAGCCTCCTAATGTTTATATATTTATATTGTTTTGATTTATACGACCACTGCACTGAGCTATATATGTTCAACGAATATAAAGTCAAAACGATGAATGACACGCATTAATTAAATATCAATAAGGAAGTGGGTAGCAGCTGCAAACTCTGCTGACACACGCCATGATACCAAATGTATAATGGCATAATGCATATATGTTTATTAAATGATTTATAAATGTGAAATCTGTATAATCTGCTGTTGAGTGCTGATACCTGCATTTTAGTTTCTACAATATATTTACCACTACATTGTCATACAACTGTGATCCAGTCGTCAATAATATTGCACGTTGTACTCAGTAAATATAGCAAACTATTAGTTTCATAATATTACGAAGTCCACTTTTTAGCTATCCCAGTTTAGCAGTCTAGCTAGATCGTTCAGACTTCGCCAATAATTACGACGCATAACCCGGGAACATCAACGTACGATAATAATAATAATAATAATAATAATAATAATAATAATAATAATAATAATAATAATAATAATAATAATAATAATAATAAAATCAAAAGAAAAAATTGAGAAATTTAATGAAAAGAAATAAAAAGATTTTAAAAAATGATATTTTCATAAAACAGTGTCATACAACACAATATATCAATCTCGGGCCCCACGCACTACACGAAGCTTGGTCACACTGACTGGTAACCTATTATTCCTGCCTTCACATAAATATGCAATTCATTTTCCCATTTGTAATCAAAATAACGCCTGACGGTACATATAAACACAATTGTGGGGAGTCCCCTTTTCAATAGAGCTGGACCTATAAGAACTAAATCTAACATACAGTGCCAATGCTTTCGTGGAAAAGATATCGGCTTTCGTATAAAGATGATAAAAGGAGGTGTCGTTTCAATTAAGGCAGAACATAGTGTTTTGTACCTATAAAAAAATAGATACGTGATCAACGCGTGCTTCAGTCGTTTGTCAAAGGTGATATTCTGCGGATGTGTTTAGTGTGTTAGATGAGAAAATTTATTTTGACTCTTTCATATTGGAGGTTGGAAATAAAAGCACACATGGCCGCAACGAGTTTATCTCGTCTGTGAAAACCCCTTGGTTATTGTGAATTTCTTATCGTAGATCAATGCTTCACACTACGGTTGATTTTTAACAATTTTTGGATTAAGCGCTGCTTTAAGGTAAGAAGGAGTCATCTCTCTCTCTCTCTCTCTCTCTCTCTCTCTCTCTCTCTCTCTCTCTCTCAAGACTTCATATCCTCGCTCTTCTGTTTCATATATTACCCTTTCTACTCTGCGGTTAGTATTCTACACACATTTATAAAACCAGCTGCTCTTGTTTATTGCAGCTTCGTCTAAGAAAGCAGACATGGACCCAAACCTTATTCAGAGGGTGGTGGATTACCACGGTAATGAGCTACTTGACCTGTTGGAATCTGATCAGACGCTCAGCAGCTTTCCTGTTCCCTCTGCCATAGAATACAGGCCACCAGAGGGCGATCCCAAGTATGTACAGGACTGTATTATAGTCAAACTTTTTTAAAATGGGTTGGGGTGTCTGAAGTTTGATTCATGTGGACCTGTTCCCATCCAAAAGGGTGAATTTATTTTAAATCACATTAATCCTCTTGCCTATGGGCTTACACTTACTAAATTACCAGAGGTGTTTAGAATGAACGTGGTACTTGCAGTAATGGGATCTTTTCATGTACCCTAAGAGACCTTGGGAGTAATAGCTACACACATTATGATAAAATGAACTTTGATTTTAGCTTTTAATCAGTGTCATTTGGCAGACCTCAATGGAAAAAATAATTGTATAATTATACTTGCAGCTGGATGGTAATATAGCTAAGTTGATAAATACTGTTTCAGTGATGAAGAATTCAGGTGCAAGCTGAACCATTTTTTGTCCCGTAAATCAGACCTTCTGTACACGCCATCTCTTCCCCCAGTGGTGGAGATAGTTAAGAATGAAAAGGCAGTGGAAGGTAAGTAGTTTTAATGAAGTCAAAGTTATTCTGATGGAGGTTTATCTATACTAAGCATAGCTGTGCAGTATTGTTGAGCATTCATGGTAAATAGTTTTAAACTAAAATATTAAATGTGACCAATGTAGCCCCAGCCTGTGAGCTGCAATGAAAGCTTGCACAATGGTCTGTTATCAAATATTTGTGTAGAAGTTAGTTTAAAATTATTCCACATGAATTTGAAGGTATGTTTTCAATATATGTGTCCAGTATGTGGGACCACTGTATAATTATACACATCCCAGCAAAAAGCAAGGACACATCAAACATATTACAGTTATCGTCAGCATCATCATCAAAGCTTTGTTTTTTCAGGTCTTCAGTTCTAAATGAACAGGGTTGGACCTTTTTCCCCACATATTGCCCCCCCCCCCTCCATTCTTGCCTGTTACTTGGATCTGTATCTTCAGCTTGTAAATCTGTCTCCTGTCTGTGCTTACCACCTCCTTCCTATTTCTCTCCACATCAAATTCTGTTACTCTTTTCACCAAGTTGTCATCAATAAGCGAAAAAGCACTGAATGGTGTGGCTGTGCTGTTCATAACTTATATGAATCATTGTTTTCAGATTATTATGCAGTGATGCCTCCTCTAGAAGCCTTCATGGGAGTCTCACCCAGCCAGTGCAGGAAACATTTCTATCAGGTGAGCTCTCTCAGAAATAATTGTTTTCGTTTTGGATCTGTAATAATATTAACAGAGGCCAATTATTTGCAGTAAGGTCTTTTTAAAGACTTGGTTATGGAAAAAAGAATTTGATTTTAGAGATTTCTTTCTTTGTCATCTGGTTTTCTGGTGATGTCATTTGTCTGTTAGTGTTCCAATTTAGTTCTGGGATGAAGAATTTGATGTATAGTGTAATTAGCTAGTATATTTCTTGTCTAATTTAGTTCTGATGTGAACATGCCCAGCTGTGGTTTTACTTTCAGTGCGCCCAGAAGAATGACATTTTTGTTGGCGTGGTGACAGCAGTACAGGAGAGTGGTCTGATTATTACTCTGCTGGCTTTAGACTACGGGAAGGCTAGGGACATAGACCAATTGAGGATAACTGTAAGATCTTCTGTTTGCCTGTGTGTGTGTGTGTGTGTATGTGTACGTTCAAGCGAGTGAGAAGGAGAGAAAGAGAGAGTCTGGCATTTGTGAGGTCTGTGCTGGCTTTAGTGTGCATGCATGCAGACTGTGTTTTTATGTGTGGTTATATATCAGAAGAATGGAGTTTTTTGCTGTAAAATAACTCACTTTAAAGACAAATTTAGTGTTAAACGTGTTGAAGAGTACCAGAAAAAGGGTGCAAAAGCTCACAAAGAACAATAATGACCAAATAAATGAAAAAAAAATCAAGAAAGGCCCTGTGTCTTTATGTATGAGATTTTTGTTTAAGTATACATACATATGTACAGAGAGAGAGAGGGGCAATGAATGCTGGAAACTTGTCATTTATATCTATGCCATCCACCATATGATCCCATGCTATTAGATTCTTAACTCACTCTGGCTGACATAGACAAGATCACACCCATCTATTTATTGTTTGAGATTTTAATATGGGCAGGACATGCTATATTTCTTATCTCACCTTCTGGCATGGATATGCTCTGTAACTAGTGTTAGGTTAGCAAGGGTTTCTTCCTCAGGGTTTCTGTCCTCTGCGAGAAGTTCCCAGACTTTATGCACACGAGAGTCCACTTGATGCCTTCACCATCAAGGACAAAGTCAGAGGTAAGTTTTGATGTGTGGCATGTGTGTATCTGTGTGTAAATAACACTAACCAGACAAAGAGGCACCAGGCTAGTGAAAATGTTCAAATTTCACATAACACTAGCCCACTTACAGACCTAAATTGTTTGAATGGATGACAGATTAAAAGTTTTAGGCATAAACATGTGTGTTTGACCTCAAATAAGATACAAGATGAAAAAGTGGTATATGCCTAATATTTATGTAATTTATCATTGTACTTTGAATTCTGTACCTTGAATGGAAATTTAAAAAAAAAGGTGAATCATCAGAACATGAAACTTACCCTCATACTATCTGATGTATTGATTTGTCAGATATCTCTGATTTTATAAATTTCACTGTCTCTTTGGGAGGATTGGTCCGCTCTGTTGAAAGGAATTCGCTAACCTGTTACTAAAATTCCAGGCATAATTCTACAAGTTGACCCTGACAAAGAGAAAATAGTGGTGTCCCTGCAGGTGTCTGCACTGCCACCTGGTGTTGAAAATCTGAAGATTGTGAGTTGTGCTGCCACCTTGTGTAGAGATTTATTAAAATAAATGAACTATAGCCATGTAGTGTAGAAAATTGAAGTTTGAATTGATATGGAGTCATCTTGATATCTCATTTCTAAAATGGTACAAAAAATGAAAAATTAGGCCAAAAGTAACACAACTGAAATTAATTTGATGAATTATTTTCAGGGTTTGATTGCAGATGAAGAAATGCCAGTCCACTATCAGTAAGTGTTCAACTTCACTGTTCTCTTATGTGTTTTTATTTTTTTCAAAGGCTGTATGATATTCAACCCTTCTGACAAGGTCTTTTCACCCGATCATTGTTACAGATTGACTATGTTGTTCAGACAGGCCGAATTCCTGTGTAAACTATATTACATGGTCAAACATCATCCACACAGGTTTTGTGCAAACCTGCTGAAATTTCCTTTTCAGGGATGTTGTTATGTTCTGTAGCTTTGTCAGTTTACACAGTTTACTTGCTTTTCTTGGCTCATCAGCAACATTTGCACTTGAATAAATAGATATCATACCCATTATCTTCTATAGAATTAGACCTTGTTGCATGTATAGTTCTGTCAATTGCACTTTCATGTTGGTAAATAATTGACTGAATATCCTTCTCCTGTATGTATTACTGATGAGTTTTTATGTACAGACACAGATGTGTCTGTACATATAGCCATCATCTGCGTCTGTCGTCGCCGTCGCCGTCGCCGTTGTCGCTGTCGCCGTCGTCGCCGTCGCCGTCGCCGTCGCCGTGCACTTTTACCGATAACACGATAAGTGGAAAACCATTTTACCTTTTGACTTGAAACTTGCAGAACTGATGAATATTCATAATACGCAGGTCAAGTTCGAAAATCAGCATGATCGGGTCACTTTTAGGGAATTTATGCTGTTTTTTCACTTTTTTCAGCATATATGCAGCACCGATAACACGATAAGTGGAAAACCATTTTACCTTTTGACTTGAAACTTACAGAACTGATGAATATTCATAATACGCAGGTCAAGTTCGAAAATCAGCATGAT